TGTGTGTCTGTCTGGGCATTGTTGACTTGGCGACAGTGTTGCATTGGCACAACCGATGGGAGTGGCACACTGTAATAGTAATATGAGATCTTGCTGTACATTGCAAAGAATGGTGGGAATTCTTTGCCCCCGTGGCCTCGGCTCACACAAGGAGCCAGGGAAAATGTTACCTAATGTCTCTTGCATCAGTTTAACTGCTGGACGTGACAAGACTCATGAGAATCTGAAACATTTGTCGGTTTCCGTCTGAAGAGCCAGGGCCTGTGTTTGTTGGTTCATTTGTGTGCGCGGCGTGAACATGTGGTGCTTTGGGGAAATTAGGTCTGAAGTGCTTCAGTCACTCGGAGGCCAAAGAGTGCGGGCGAGCCTGTAAAAGTCACGCCGGCATGACACAGCTCTGTCCGTTCACATGCTGACGCCGGCGAAGCTCTGTGATTTTTAATGCAACACTTTCTGTTATGTTCCATTATGTTGAAACCTGTGCTACCGGCGTAATAAACAAGAACTAACTGAGGAGTTTATAAAGTATTCTTAATGGAGACAGAAGTTTTAACTGTTTGGCATTTCAGCAGTTTTCATGCACTTTATTGACAACTCTAACATTTTGCAGTCGAAGAATAAGAGTTTCCCCAGTTTGCAAAATCTTCCCAGCTGACACTGGGATTCAAACTGGCAACCTTCTCGTCACAAACTCACCTTAAATAACTTCCAGGCTCCCGACATCCTGCAGTTGTGAATCTCAGGGACACAGTGAACGCTCGTCTAACCTTTATTGTTCGAAGCTTCAGTGTTTGGAACAGATGACACATAACCCAACGGAGAGGGCCAGATCTTTTATAGAACTCTCGAATATCCCAGAAGTCACCGCAGAATCTAGTTTTATTAGACGTGTGTGTGTGTGACAGAGAGAAAGAGGGTGTTTGTGGGAGTTTGGCTCGCCTGCTGTTGTGAAAAGTGTGCCTCTGTGGGAGTTAAATGTGTGAGTCAGCTCTGAATCACACTTTCTGTGTATCACTCAAACACACACATGAACTCTCTGACAGTCACATACATATATGTGCACATAAACATCCTGCACATACAGAGATATTACGGATTACACATCACCAAACCCACACAGACAGTAACACAGCACTGGAGATTGTCAGTTTATAAGGAAACAAGCATTTTTACTGCATGATTGATTTCCAACCTGGGGTGGTTGTCGCATGCCTGCATTCACTAAACGTGCCAGGGGGTGCAACAATAAAAAAAAAGAAGTAATAATCAACAGAACGACAGCCAAACAAATACATATTGAGTAACTGTAACACCTCAGCAAGTGTTGGGAATGTGTGTGAAAGATAAAAAAAAAAAAGAAATAGGCCAAACACAAGAGATAAGTGGTTTGAACTGATATTTAAATGTAAATAAATGGGGAACTTAAAGTCATTTAGAAATTATTATTAAAACCAACCAACCAACCAATCAATACTTGAATGAAACTTCTAGCTCAAGTAATCCTAAAGAGAAAAAGGTGAAACTTTTATTTAAATGGATGAAATTGCAAAAATTAATTGTTAGACAGCCAAAACTTCAAAGTTAGAACTAATCTATGAATGGTTAAAAGTGTCAGCTGAAAGTAATGGATGTATTACTCTAAAGAAACCGTTGAAAAGGATAAAACTAATGACAGGAAAAATTGTGAACTTTTTGAAATAGGCAAATTAGCTGTTGAAGTGGCTAATGGAGAAATGGCCGATAAAACAGCAGCGACAGGACTGAGAGGGTACAAATAATAAAAAAGTCCACTGCAGCAGTAGAATGCGACCCATAGCAGCAGTCATCTACCGTATGAATTAACTGTATAGCACCATTTCGGTGTCTGTCTCAGTGTGCGTGGGTGTGTGTGTGCACGTCGCTTACAATTTGACTCCTCAGTATTCAGGGCATTCACGCTCTCCCTCTCTGCCGGCGATAAGCGACGCTGATAATCAGTGAACTTTTGCCACAATGTGCATCTTCCCCCCCCCTTCTGCCGCTGCCTCTCTCTCTGAGCAGTTGTAACACTTTGACTGTGAGAACCAACATTGTTTTAATCAGCTTCACGTCTATTAGAAAATCAGCTGCTATTAACACCCATTAAAACACAAGTGTGGCTGTTGGAGGAAGAAGCGCCCCCAGATCCTGGACTTGAATAAAAATGGCGTCAAACCAAATTTAAAAATCCAATAAATAGCTCCACATGGATATTTGAGACATTAATCTGCTGGATTTTAGGATCCAGTGGACTTGTAGTCTGTCTTGTATTCATGTGTTTCACTTGATCCCAAAAGGTTGTTCTTCGCCCATGGGCACTACAGAAAGTATACACATTTATATATAAGAGGCAAATTCGACATTATGCAGAATACTCCCCTTTTGGAGTGATCTGTTATTATTATCATGAATATTCATGAACATTTAAGCAACATTTTTACATGTTGGCTGCTTTGATTCTGTTGGATAGTTTAAAAGCCTAATTTGACTTTTGGGAAATATGCTTGTTTGCTGTCCTGATAAGTGTTGGATGAAAGGGATTAAAGATTGTGCATTAGAGGAAAAGGAAAAAGCCGAGCAACACCTCAAAGGCTGACTGATTAATATTTTATATTTCTCAAAACATAACATGGTTTACATGATTTAACTCGAAGAAGCCACAAATAGTTGTTTTTTTTGCATATATTAATAAGGGAGCTTTAACCCTTTAAGGTGGGTGCACTCACTCCTGCCCCAGGTTGTTATTAACAATGAGAAAAACACATTTAGGATTAAATCAGCACAGTAATCTTTGCTTGAGGTTATTGCACAACATGAATATTGTGCACATTTTTCACCCAAATCAGATTTTAGACGCATTAAGAGCATCCATCAACTTTTATAAGTCACGCTCTCGTTCCTTCTCCCCCCCGCCAGCCCTTCTCCAAACCTTGAGTGCACCTTAGATGACCTGTAGCCGTCACTAAAGCCAGAAACCCCAAAATAAATCACCATTGAGAGGCTTAGTTATTTATTTAATTCTTATCAACTTTTCCTGTGCGACTTTAGAAGCTGTGATTCGAGATATCACATCAAACTTGAAGAGTTTCGATAATGGAATCAATTTGTCGCGTCTCGTTGCAAAGTCAGATAATGTTGAACAGACGATTCCAGACCCTTCAAACTGATTGCTGTGTTATTCAATTTAAGATAATAATAAAAAAGAAAAGCTTTGCTGATTCTATCTAACTCTTTTGTGGCATTTTGGAACTTCAGATTTGGGGGAGGGGAGGAAGCATTTGGAGGGTGCAGAAGCTGACAAATGCTGTTTGATGAGAAATGCTGTGTGTGTGTGTGTGAAATTGTTTGCATGCAATTTAGCAGCTGGCTTATGAGGTTTTTTCTTATTCCCCATTTGCCTTTTCTCTTTTTTTTTTAGCTTGTTTGCTTCCGCCGCTCGCTTCCCATCCTGCTTTTTTCCCCATCTTTGATAGTGTGGTTATGATAGATGAGTGTATTATAAAGCAGGGACTTGGAGCAGGGGAAATCAATGCTCATTCCTCAGAGGTGTGTGTGTGTGTGTGTTTGAAGTGTGTGTTCGCCAGTTGTGCTGTTTGTTAAGAGGTTAGACGCTGGATACATTCATTGTTTTGGGAGCCAGGGGCTGCAGCTGAGCCGCTCTGTCTTGATCTGCTTTCCTTTGACTCAGCAAACCCTGCTCCAGCCAGACAAACACAAACACACACATGCACGATGCACGCACCCCTACACTTGCAATTTGGGATATCGTCCCACACACACACACACACACACACACTCACAACACAATCAGAGACGTCCATTACCCCTTTTGTTCCTGTCTCCTGACTCTTTGTCATTAAATACTGCTGATCTGAGGCCGCTTTGTTTGTAGAATTAAACGTCGCATATTTTCTCGTTTGCTGGAGTTGTGGTCACAGGTGCACAGTAGCCGTCATGGGTCAGTATGCACAAGTGGTTCTTTTCCAGAATAAAATGCTGACAATGTAGAAGTTCAATGCTGTAAAATTAATTACGTGTAAAGGATTCGTTAAATTTGTTCTGCACGAAAAACCACACGTGGTTAACAATACTACTGCACTGCCAGTACCACTGATACTTATCTCCAAAATGTAATGATTCTTTATTACAAAGGAAAATAATGGATAATCCTCACGTTGAAACCATTGCCTGTGACTCTTGGGACTCTTGAAACGTACATTGTGAAGTTACCACCACAAAAAAACTTAAAATACCCAGAGGTGTCCTTGAAAACATCTGCATATCATAGTTCTACATTATACACCTGGTTTTGCAGCCATGTTGAGTGAAAATCTGTGAAACGCCAACCAAACTTGAAATGGCTCTTAAATGGTGACACAGCAGCTGTTGTATTATCTGAGATCATATCATCTGCGGGGGAACACGCAGCAGAAGGATGTTGAACATTCTCCTGCAGACTAAAAGAAATCTGTCGTCCCTATAGACACACTTTGAAGAGGATGACTGCTGGTGCGGAGTATTGAAGAGAAAGCTGATTAGTGCCTGTGGTGTGAAGCCGGAAACCTATAATTTCAAGAGGGGATGCGTGTGATTATCGATCGGGGAATGACAGAGTTGAAGAGTGTCGGAGCTGTGGACGGGTCATAAAGAGCGATGGGGTTTGTGGGGATGAGTGTCACTTCCAGTGTTGAGTGCAAATCATTTCCAGCTACCTGGTGTGTTCTCTCATAATTGCCATAAAAATAGATTTGATTATAGGTGATTTAAAAGCACCTTCAACCCTCAGTGTGATCACACTCTAACATCCTTTCAGAGGAAATGTGATTTGAAATGTAATAGATAATAAATAGGTGGATGAGATAATATCTAATATGTAAAATCGTTAAAATCTGTCGTTATGTCTCCCACATTTTAAAAATCGGTCAAGCGTTGAGAATCGTGTGCAGCAGCCCTAACTTTGACAGTGTGTGTGTTTGCTCCAGGTCTGGACGACTGTCTGCAGCAGTACGTGTGCGTGTTTGAGCGTGGAGGTGTGTGTGGGGAGAGGCTGCTGAGGATCAGCCACGCCGAGCTGGAGGAACTGGGAGTTTCTCGAATTGGACACCAGGAGCTCATCCTGGAGGCTGTCGACTTGCTCTGCGCTCTGGTGAGTTTGCTTGTTTTGTAGTTTTGCTGCAGAGCCAGACTGTTTTACAGCCGGACCTTATTGTACGACGTTCTGCTCCAATGCAGGAAGTAAATCTGCAGCGTCCAACATTAAATCTGTGAATCTCCCAGCTGTCACTTCCACAGTGTAAGAAAAACAGTCCCATTGTCAGCGTTTGCCAAAAATAAATCAATTTCTGACTATAGAGAAAAATTTCCAACGTTGATGTCGGAAAAAATTAAACCGCAAATCACTGAAGTACAGTTCTAAACTGAAATCACGTCCTGTATATGATGTTTGTCCATTATACTGTGTATACTCACTCTGTTGATGTTTCTGTCATTAGATCAAGTTCATACAAACAAACAGCAACACAGTCTGGGAAACAAAATTAAGGTCAATAGCTCTTCAAATATAAATACAAGCATGACGATCTCCTCAAGTTGCAAACTGACATAGAAACTTTACGGATGTTATTCAAAGTAGGTTCACAACGTACAAAGAATCACTTTCTGATAATTTTCTTCAACACAAAAACATGAATTGGTTGAACAGAACCTTTTAAAGAGAATAAAAGTATTTTTATCCAACCTCAACTTAAAAACTCAAGCTCTCTGTTTTCATGCTGTGGCTGTTGGTTTCT